GAAAGGAAGACGTTTAGAGAATCGAATGTGACAGCTAAAAGAGAACTTGTTTTTATCAGTGAGGAAACAACGTCAGTTATTGGAGGCAGAATTTATTGAAAAAGCAACCCATTTCTAATCAAGTTAAAGATGGTGAGCGGTACAAGAAAGAAGAAAAACCATGAGAAATGGCCCAGAACCCGTGAAATGAGACCTTTTTCTTACCCGTGGATTTCCACATTGATGCTACACTCATCAATCAAGCTCGGATGATTTAGCGGTTTATAGAATTTCCACCATTGAAGAATCGATGTGTAAGTGAAATGTGACCAATCAATCAGCATCTAACCAAGCTGGGATGGAAATCGGAAATATAATGAAATTCGCTATTGGTCCAAGTCAGATAGTTGAGCAGCTCAACTTTCGTTGCTTCTTCAGATGAAAGGGTAGGAATGAAACATACTTTAGCAGTTGACAGTTGAGCGCACCCTCAACTATCGCTACTTTTATCAGTACATTTGCTGCTCATACCACTTTCTGTCACCTACATACATTCGACCCTCGCCACCTTGATCGCTTGCGAGTGATAATTGCAACGAAGTTGGAGAGACCTGCATTCGAACGCTCGTATCATTCCTTGTCATTTGTTATCAGTTCATTCTGTTCGCAATCGGTGTCGCGGTTCCAACCTCCAGGCAACGTGTAGGTGCTAATATTTACTGGCACCACGAAGGCGCATCGAAATCAGCAGTAATCAAAATCCTAACTTTCTTATCAACCGTTATCGCTTGTTATCACTTTTGACCATCCGCTATCCGTGTTCCCGTCCCATCCCCTATACCACATGTGGAGCCAGGGTTCCAATGTAACCGCAAGGGCCGCAACGAAACTGGTGGTATCCACACTTTGACGCCCCTTATCAGTTATTATCAGTTGCTACCACATTGGTTCACTCAAATTCTTGGTCCCCACCTCACCGCACATATCATACATGAGTGCAAACTCTCCACCGTCAACGCGAACGGTGTAACGAAATTGGTGGCATGGACATTTCGACATCCGTTATCAGCTCCTGTCAGTAGTTATCACTTCCCGCCACCCGTCGTCAGTGTTCTCCTCCAACCCCCTATATATCCTAGAAGTTTTAGGTCCAAAGGGGGTGACGTTATGAACTTCTGGTCAGACACACACACCAACCGCTTAGCCGATTATATATAGTAGGATAGGATTGTAGATAACGCATTTTATCCAATATCGTCTCATTTCATCATCAACATGAAATACCGTTCGACCGTTACACACCCCAAGATCCTTAAGAATGCACGATGGACGTTTAGAGGTATACGATAATGGGTAATTCTACTTCACAGTCATTGCCATCAATATTATTCGACCGCTAAATCATCCTCATATCAACTACATTTTGGAGCCTTCACTGTTGGCGATCGTACATGCGATTAGGCGACTAGGCGATGATTCGAAATGAACAGTATGCTAATCGATTAGGCGAGTAGGCGATAGGGCGAGTGGGCGAGTAGGCGATTGGGTGAGTAGGCGAGTAGGCGACAAGAGCAGGGAACGTATTGATTTGTTGCTCCGCCCATTGGGCGATCGCCCAGTCGCCTACTCGCCTACTCGCCTAATCTAATCTGTACGTATATTTTCCATTATAGACGAATGGCCTAATCGCCTAATCACACTTACGATTGCTAACTATGAACGTTCCATCAGCTCTGCACTCCACCGCACGTACGAGACGGTGAGCTCGAAAATGGGCAACCCATGGAATGGCCAGCTAAGGCTTTTTCCGGGGCAACTTATCCGTTAGCGGCGAAGTCTAACGCTCCACCGGCTGTTCAGTTTTACCGAGCCCTTCCGTGTCATGCACGCATTAGTGTGCAGAGCTAAACTGGTTAAGGTATAATTGAGTCTTTCAGTTTGTAACAGCAAAACTTGTTTTGCGATCTCAATATTGTTTATGTACTTTTGCCAAAAATTTCAGTTAGGGGTGAAAGCTACGCACACCACGCACGCTCCACCCACAGGGTAAAAAACAGTACAAGGAATTAAGGTGAATCTCTGTAAGGAATAGAGCCACAGTGCACACGCGCTGCAAAGAAAATCTATTTATTGCATGTGCTTCTGGCACATGAAAATTTTTTGGAAAGCTTCACGAATTGCGTGTCATCCTTGCGCAAGAACCATGCTACTCTTCCCTGTATTGTTCTAATTTTGGTACCCCTACTATATGTTGAACGCGATGCCTGTCTGTTCATAGCACGCGTCGTAGCAGTCGTCAGGCCCACCCCTGGTGGGCGATGCGTTCTCCAAAAAAGCAGGGCTTTATGAAAAATTTCAAACTCGGTTGGGAGAAAGTGTAAAGAGCAGAAAATAAATTGCTGTAGAAGAGGAATGTCTAAGGTGTTTCCAGCATACATGATGTGAGCGGAGGCCCGCCCACGAGCGGGCGGGGCGGGCGCGCTTTGAAGTGTACAGCGTTTTCTATAAGTCCTCACAATTCGGGTCGGAGAAGCTTTAGTGAGCCGGGAAAAGGTGGATAGAGGTGGGTGGAGGAGTGGAGGTCATTGGGGGCGGGGCACGACCAAAGTGGGCGGATTTTGCGGCGAAATTCATAACTCGGCTCCAAAAAGTCCCGTAGGCCAAAGGTGGATGGAGGTAAGTGAAGGAGCGGAGACCAGCTGTCATCGGTGAGCGGAGCTTGACCAAAGTGGGCGGAGTTTGCCAAAAGGGTCGCGATTCGGTTCTAAGAAATCCTAGAGATGGGGGAAAACGGGTCAGAGAGTTGGCGAGGGAAGGGGAAGACGGGGTTAGAGGTTGGCGAGGGAGAGGAGGTCAACTGCTATTAGTGGGGGGAGCACGCACCTAAGTGGACGGAGTTTGCGAAAAGTGTCGTAATTTGATTCCAAGAGGTCCCAGAGACCAAAAAAGGGTAGAAGTCGGTTAAAGGAAAAATGCTGCTGGTGGGCGGGGCACGCGCCGAGGCGAAGTTTGCCACGAGATTTATTGTCCGGAAGCGTCCGGAGAGCGGGAAAAAGAGGATTATGGATGACGAAGAAAAAGAGGTTGAAATCCGTCGATGATGGAGCGGATAAAATTTAGCTGAGAAGTCAGATATTCGTTGTGTATCAGGCCAAATTTGAAAATTTTTGCCCCACCATTGAAATTCGCCGCAGATCTGTGTTGTGCGCGCAATGCGTGCGGCGCCAGCTGGTATGATATAGAGGGTGGAACGGGAACATATTCGGTGGGGGTCAGAAAGTGATAACTACTGATAAGAGCTGATAAGAGGCGCAGAAACGCAAATTTTACAAAATTCATAGCGCGCGTCCTAGCAGCAGTGAGACAGCAATGGAACACTGTATTTTAAGTATGATGAAAGGGACGGTACATATTTGATGGGGGTCAGAAAGTGAGAACGATTGATAAAGACTAATAGTCAAGATATGTGCACGAACGTAGAGTTCAAACGAAACTGATACACTTTTCGAACGCTACATTTTACGGAAATCCTGAGGATGAATGAGATGCTTGAATAAACACGATAATGAGTACGGGGTTTTCAATTTCGACATCATCCAATAGTATTCGACCGCTTAATTATCTTGATAGTTGATGCATGGCGGTTGTTCACATACATCACTTTAGCAACGCACTTTACTGCGCTTATCAAACAGTGAGCTTCAGCCAAAATGAAAAGCTCATGCAACAGAGAGCCAACGCATTCAACGAAGCAGCTATTCTTTAGCGGTGAAATCTCACGCTCCACCACCTGCGAGGGTCGTTGAAGCCTTCCGTTTCATGCGCGCGGTAGCGTGCAGAGCTAAACTGGTATTTCAGAAATACACTCGATCTAATCTCCTCTGTCTACCGCCCGTTCTCTCGCCCTATAGCTCGTTGAGAATGACACCGTTGTTAGCGACGCTGTCGCAAAAACGACAATAGTGGAAGGCCCTAGCCAGATGTAGCTGTTCCTGTTCCTTAGCTTATGAGAGCTACGAAATGTGTTTACTACTATACAGTTTCTCACAAAAGGTCATCACACTTTTCAATCGAATCTGCAGCTTTCGGTGGAGGTCGGATGCATAACCTATGCGAGGAAGAAATCGGGTGATTACCATTCTTCTTATCGTTTACGTTGAAAGAATGCATTCTGGGCATATTTTGAAATTGCCAACAAACTGGGCAAGTGTGAAGAAGGAAGTGTGAAGAAGGAAGCGACTCTTTGAGTAGTCAAAATTTGTCCCCGGTTGATCCTCAACGTGAATATATGCTAAGCTGATTAAAATACTAGAAAGCACTAAACCTTCACTTTTTAAAGCTTTCTTCGCTTTTTCAACTTCTCACAAAATGAGAGATATTGCCTTTAAAGTGGCAAGAAATTCGCATGAAAATTCCAGCGCCACTGACGCAGACTCGATGCAGTTCTAGAAACCCTATCTCTGTGAAAGGCTTTTAGAGCAATTTCAAAAGTGTTTGGTAACAAGAAACCTAGCTCTTTCTAACCCTACCACATACTGTTCAAAAGCTTTTGCAAGGGGAATGGCATCTTTCCAGCGAGGGTGTGGATTTTGATGGTTTGGAGTGGGGTTAAAGCAAGTCTGACAAAGAGATCAACAACGCCTAAACTGATTCGGCCGTCGCTCCCTAAGCTTGATTTTCACATTGCTTGAGGGTCGTTCCACGACCCTCATTTTATAGGGAGGTTGCATTGCTCCCATCACGTCCTCGACACGACTTTCATCCTGAACGAGAGTCCGAAAGCGTTTCGTGAAGTAGTCATGATCACGGTAAGACCCACTATAAGGCATGTCGGTGTGTGAATACGCATCCCATTTATAAGGTGTTTACCTCACAAGTGGAAGTGAGCGAATCGAGTGGCGTAAAAATACGCAGCGAAATGGAAGTACCGACGGCTGCCGGTAGGCAAAACTTATTAAAACACACATAGAACAAGTCACACAACAAGACAATTTATTGAAGAGCCGAATGCTTTCGAATTTTTATTTGTCTACCATGAGGCCACCTTTGGTGCAATGCATGCCATTTCTCTCTCTCCATCCATCGTCCTCATATGTCCTCTCGCCAACTTTCAACTGTAAAAGTTATGAAATGGTTGTAAATTACAGCACCATGCCCTTCTACGTGCTTCCATACTGCTACAGCGCGGGAGATGTCAGAACGAAAAGCAGGAAAAGATGCGAAGTCTAGTTTCCTCAATCTGACATCGCCCAAATGCTCCTTTTAACAACAGTTCAGAAAAGCAGGAACTTCAAGCTAGAACAAAGAGTCATCTTGTTGAAAGTAGTAAAAACGTGAAGGCGTTACATTACAGAGGCAAAATTCACTGGTGTGCAAAACCTAATGGCCGAAGAAATTTTTGCATGATATCTCAATGGTAGCTGACCTAGGACGATGAAATTGACACATACATAGAAGAAAATGTTACGTACAAGGCAGAGGGCTACTGAAGAAACACGCAACTGGAAAAGACGTTTCTTTCCGAAGACCGTGACTGAAGCGGTTGATGGGTAAAGCTACCCTATCCCATGGTAAACCTTTAGAAGAGAGGTGGTTTCGATGGGGTATATAACACTACGGGTTGCAAAGCATGCTCTTCTGCATGCTTCCATACTTGCTTCAAGGTTGGTCATGAGATCTTGTGGAGAAGCGTTCCATTCCTCGAAGACCGCGACTGTTTGGTGGCGCATGGAGAGGTGCTACGATCGTTTCGTGCCAACTGTTTTCATAGGATTTGTGTGAGGGAAAACGGAGAGGCTCAATTAATAGCCACAGATCCTCGCGCTCCCAGTTTTCCACGTAGATCGTTCTATGCGCTCGCACTCAAACGCATCCCGGAAAAGATGCACATAAACGAGGAGTACATCGTCCCATTAATGTTGATTAGAAAGTGTACCGCGATCGTCGGAGAGATCGTGAGTGAGGAGATCAGTACTCCCCGACAACTTTATGCCTCCCCATACCATATCGCCTGGACTATCAAAACAATCGTGCTGAACGATGGTCTTGGGGCATCACATGTTACCATTCTCGCGGATAGGTCCAGAATCACTACTCACACTCAATTTGTCCTGAATGAGAAGAGCACGCGATTCTGCAGTTTCGTGGTCCTTTTCCAATGTCTCGGCACTTAGCAACTGTTCCCATCGATGTGTGGATTTTAAAGGATTACTATGTAGGTACTGTTGGTTTGATCAGAGAGATCATCGCTACGCGGTCGCCGGCTACTATTCAGGTTGGGGTCACGTCCCTTACAATCCTGATAAATGTTCCTGCAACTGCAACCTGTGACTGACGTGGGTCCATTCTTGCCTGTTGCAAAACGTATAAATCGCCTGCTGTTGCCGCTGTTCATGATCCACCACGTCCTGTTCTACGGGCGGTAGTGGCTACGCCCACATTGCTCTCCGTGCGCACAAAACAATGCTGTGAGCAACATCGAACTCCTGGACCAACCTGTAATACCTCTTCCTTCTTCCAGTTTCCCAGTGCTCCTCCCTCGCGTGGCCACCTCAGTGTGGCTTATGAAACTTGCTGTAATCAAGCGCACTAGTACAGTCTACAGTAGTTTCTCCCTGATTAGTACAATCTCTCTTGTCCTTGTCCCCCAGACCCCTTCTCCTTCGTGGCCAGTCTCACGAATGAAAGACCTTCAGCACCGTGCCCGCACAGTTTCATCCATTTCCATTGAATGTTGAAAGCATTATGCCACGTTATCCTTCTCGCTTTCACGTTTTATACCAGTGTGTTGTGGACCGAATTTCTACATTCCCAGCAAAATATTAGAAATATGCATACCTCCGTCCCTTTAGGAGTTCTGCAGCCAGTCGTTTCCACTTTCCCGTTCTTGCATTCATAATGCATATCAAAGTAAGTCTTAAATGATTTTTTTTAAAAGAAGGATTCTTTCAAAGAGATCACAAATTTTTGAACGATTTTCTACCGTCGGACTCCAGCCGCTCAGCAGAGAGAGATGGACCGTCGGCATTGAGCGGATGTCAACGAGCAGACGGCGTTTCCCTCCGAAGCTCTGGGTCGTTTCTCATGGTGTTTTCTTCCTCCCCGCACCACTGGCCACCACGATCTTGCATTCTAATGAACCACCTTTTCATTGTAAACTTTGCATTCAAAGGAATCTTCCACGGAAAAAGCTTCGCCCTCATTACCACAGAGAACGATACCTTAAAGGAATCTTACACGGAAAGAGTGGTCATTTTGTCCCGTGTGTAGGATTAGTATTATCGAAGCTAACTTGTGTTCCATTCATTTTGCTATGATCATGAGGCTAGGGGTCTGAGGTATCTTTTTCTGTGGTAACGGAAGCGGAGCTTTTTCCGTGGAAGATTCCTTGAAAGGGCCACGCAGTAGCCTGATGGTGAGACCCGTAGGACTAGGAGTCTAAGGATGGGACTACCCAGAAACTAAGCATAACCTTACGTAGTTCTTTGGTGCTCTAGAAAATTGGCAGACGGTCGGGGAATGTTGTGGCAGGCATTGTTAGCCGATATTTTTTCAACACTGATCACTAAGCCTTTTTCGAGCATACTATTTCTGATGTCAAAGTAGCAGTACCTACAAACAGGGTCAACCGTCCTCTGGAGGGGGTCCAGTTGCGACCCCCACCAATACACGTTTGCGACCCCCCAATACAACCAGCCATCCCCCACCGCGACCTCTCCCTCTTCTATAATATTTGACTCTGAGACCAGTTGACACAGCCCAAAACTTACCTAGAACTCCGAAACTCCGCCTACTTTTTCCCCAAAAATAGCCGTCGTGCGGGGGGTGGAGGGTATATATAACCACTGAAACGGCAACTTTTTCCACACACCCTCTGCCCTACCTGATGACCGAAGCGCGCAATGCGACCCCGTTTTCCCTCCCAGAGCCCAAATGCGACCCCCCGTTCGAACTGTTCGAACGGACGGTTGACCCTGCCTACAAACGTTTACAACATGAACGATCTTCTGAATGTGCTCTCCGCACAAGGATGTCCTCTCCCAACGACACCATCGCCGACTTCTGTTGTCTGAACGCAGGCGTATAACCCTTTATCGCCCTCGCATTGTTCTGGTGTCATGATTTCCGCCGCGAAAGTGTCACACACCGTCTGCTCTTGATCCCACTCCTTTACTACCTATCTTTCGCCCTTATGAACGCAGAGTCGATCTAGATTGAGACTAATAGAGGCAGGTCTTGGTGGTTGGTTTGAAAAAAAAAATGGTTGCCTAAGTGACAGCAGAGCTTATTGTAGGTGCAGTGGTAAAGGAAGCCAAGAAAAAAACGCGCGCCGACAATCCAGCAATGGAACCCCCATTTGCCAGGTAATTATCGCTTCGATATGACAACGGACGCTATCGGGATTAAAGATTAACACGGGCGAACAAGACGAGCCGTGTGCACTTGATAATCCTGATAGCGCTATTATGCCGGAAAACACCATCCGCTCACTGCGAACGCACCACCTGGAAGAACTATGGTATACGGCCACTTGAAATGAAATGCTTCACAAATTAAGGAGCAAATGGTTGCGATAATAGCAACATCTCACTCAACCGAAAGTGGGCGGCAGTCTCAAGACTCATGTCAACCGTGAGGCCATGAGAAATGCCCAAGAAACTATAAAAGGAGGCCACTTCTTGACCCGGTGGTTCCGCATTGTTGCGATTTCTTCGGTGCCACTCAGAGCTAACTGTCTCTCTGCTAAATGGTCAGAGTCAGACGGCGCTTGGGTGGGCATGCTCGCCGCAAGGGCGCGGGTACGGTCCTGCTAGGCCGCTGGGTGACACACCCCTCGCTGTGGAGCGCGCATCGCCTCGCATCCTCTGGAGGTTCGTCGGCGGCGCTATCGCAATATACGGAGGCATCCTCTAGGAGGAAGCCTAGGAGGTGGCAGGAGCTCCACGCTCGTACGTTGGAACCTCTCCTCCCTCGCCTAAAGCTTAGTTCCGCTTTCAACGAAAATGACGTGTTTCAAGCGGTTTTAGATGCAATGCCACCGCAGTGTCCCCGTATATTGCGATAGCGCCGCGCGTGCATTTCCAGTTGATTAATGTGCAGGAATGTATCAGAGTAAGTCAGTTACACATCCGAATTACTTACCCACTTTTCACCTTCCTTCTTTGTTGCCTTGAAATTGCCCCTCTTGAACTCACAGGCGAGAGCAACTCCCAAGCAAACCCACAGGATGAGATACTTCAT